GCAACGAAAAATGTTATTTCACATGTTTAATATGCTTTTTTATTTATTTTACATACAACATTTGAAATAAAATCAGGCAGAAACCATTCACAAACGTGTGATAAATAAAAAAACAATATCAGAAATCAAAATACAATAATAAACCACCCATAAACTGTGAAATTTAATATATCTATAGTTAAAAATAAAAACTTCATAAATCTACAAATAAATAAAAATTTATATGAACAGTGTAATTTTTTGAAGAATTTATTATACTAGTACAACGTCTGTGTATTACACGGGTGCTTACTATTTTTTTTTTTAACTTACAACATATAACTACATTTAACATAAATATATCAATTGAAAATAATTTTATTTTTCTAATGAATTTTAATAAATATTATTATCTTTTATTATTATAAAAATTAATTTAATTTATTTATTTTATATATACGATATGGATGTCAAATCAAAGATCATCAAAAGATGATTAATTTGATATCTTATCTATGTAAAACAGATAAGAAATACAAAAGTTACCAACTTTTAAAATACATTTATAATTCAATAGCTAATTGAAGGAAACAAATCAAAAAGACAGAATATATTAGTCACTTAGTGCCTGACGGTGTAAAATTACAATGAATTAAAAGGTTATATTAGTACAAGTGATATTAAAATACCTAAGTTAACTAATAATATTTATGAATGTCCGAACCTAGATTATTAATTATTAATATATCAACTAGTACAACACCCGTGTACTACACGGGTGCTTGTAAAAAAATTATATTTAAATTTTAAAATTAATGAGGAAACTATATTAAATTTAGTTTACTTTTTTACCAAAAAAATATATTATTGTAATTTTAGAATGATATGTGTTACTTATGACTTACATGTGTTATATTATATTAGTTTTTATAACTTATATCATATAACTACTTGAAATATAAATATATTAGTTGATAATAATTTTATTTTTCTAATTAATATTAAAAATAATTTTATTATTGTTATAAAGATAAATATAAATTATTTTTGTATAGATACAATATGGATGTTAAATCGAAACTCATCAAAAGAAGATTAATTTGATATATTACATAAAAAAATACGAAAGTTATTAAATTTTAAAATATATATACAATTCAATAGTTATAATAAGGAATGATATTAAAATGCAATTAATCCATTTAACATGACCATAAATAATCAACATATTTATGGTAATCCGAACCTAATTATTTTTAGTTTGAAATTAAATTAAAATTTACACAAGCCTAATAACGAAGCATAGAATTTTGCCACATAGGATTCCGAAGCACCAAAAGCAGCCACGTAGGCTCAGCGCGTTCTAGATTAATATATAGGGGGAGGGGATATTATTTGTCTAAATCTAATTACGTAACTTTATTTTTCGCCAAGTAGGATTTGAAGCACCAGAAGCAGCCACATAGACTTAGCATTTCGTAATTATATAGGGGATTTCACCGAGTTTCCGTAAGTGATAGGCCCAATACTCCGTACGTTAGAAAATCCATTAATTAGCCCAAACTCTTAGCCAGTCAAAAACATCAATTTTGGGCCCAGTCTACACAACACGCATTTCATCTCCATTTGGAGTAGGCCCGTTCCACTACTCTCGTACACGCACTGGCACAGAATGGGAGCTGAGGAGAAGACGGCGGAGCCGCCGCGCCAAGATACCACGGCGGAGGATACCATCGACGCCTTGCTTGAGGTACTCTCGACCTCACAACTCTGCAACTTTACATGATCCAGTCAATTATATTCCCTATTTTCCTAATTTCTCTTTTTTTTTTTAGTAGAAATGCGTGTACTCATGTGCAAATTCATCTTCGCTTGAACTTTTCGAACCGTTACAGAGAAAAAGATCAGTTTAAGCTTGTCTATGGAATCTACTGATTTAAGTTTAGTTTTATGGTTGATTGCAAATTTAGTTTGATTGATTTTAATGAAGAAGAAGGAAAACAAAAGAGTAATCGAATTCAAGCTCATCGAGAACCTTGTAATTTGTTTGTTTCCTGGTAATGCCGCCCGATGCTTGTGTACTTGAGTTATAGCTGTTTCTGATATCTCTCAATGTAAGAAATTTTGAATGGCCATGTTGGGCTGTTTGTCTATTTCTTTATCATGCTGTTTTCTAGGGTTAAGTTCAACCTACTGCAGTCACCGGATTTTTTACCGTTAGACAAATACACACCAATGTGGGTATGTGTGTGTGTTGATCCAACACTGAAAAACGCGGTGACTGCAGTGCACTGCAGTCACTGGAAGAGTCTAATTAACCATTTTTCTAGTGACAATCCACGATGTTAGTTAGTATTTGTCATCGTTGGAAGTGTCATGGTTAGAAGCTGCCTATGACCCGCGTACATGACGCTATTGATGTGATGACAGGCTGCTAGATATGATGATATAGATGATGTCAGAAGCATAGCGTCTGCTGGTGTTTCTCTGGATTCTAAAGATTCTGAAGGCCGCACAGGTTTATTATCCTAAATTGCTCTAGAGTTCTTTCATGTATATTGAGGCGTTTATGTACTTGTTTTAAAGAAATTTCTTTGTTTGGTATTCGTTCCTCTTGCCGTTTCATTTTCATTGGTGGTTTCTATAAATTTGTGTAACTTGGCAGCGCTACATATGGCTTCGGCGAATGGACATCTCGAAATTGTCGATTTTCTTATCAGCAGTGGCGCGGTAAGGGAGCAGTATGATAATTTTTCATAATTTTGCTTTCTCATTGTCATATGTGAATGCTTGAGTTTTGGTTGCTTTTCTTGATGTTCTTTGGGCAAATATTAGAGTTGTGCTCTGTCCTCTGTTTAGTGTTGTGTGTTATTAACTGTAATAAACTCATACTCTATTTTCTGAGGTTACTGCATTGTAGGCTGCTTTTTGCCTTAATTGTTTATGATATGCACCTGTAGTTCCTAAATAGAATTACCTTCTGGATATTAAACATTAGAAATGCTTATAATGTGTAGTTAAATAATGTTATTCACTGTTTAATGTTTAACGAGTATACATGTTTTGAAACAAAAGAATGGTCCATACTGCAAAATACTAACGTCTGTTTGGATGATAGGATTTTTATGCTTTGGTGTCCGAAATATTATTGGTGGCAGTAGTGATGCAGTTTATATACTTTCTGTTACACAATGCCTGTCAATAGTATTCTGGGAGGCAGATATAGTAGACTTCTTTTTTTCTTGTTATTCATTAGTATTTCCTCTCTCTCTCTTGGGAACAGGACGTGAATACATGCAACACGGAGAAAAATACTCCTCTTCACTGGGCTTGTCTCAATGGTCACATTGAGGTATTGACCTTTTTTTTTTTTTACTTTCTTACCAGCTTGTGACTTTTCAAGTTTTCATTCCTATCAAACTCATAAATTACGCATTTTCATAGGTTGTCAAACATCTCATCCTTGCCGGTGCCAGTCCCACGTTGCTCAACAGGCAAGTAACTTTTCTACCTGTTCTTCAAATTTCAACCATAGTATAAGCAAACTATTGTCAATTTTACCACCCCCATCGAGTTTAAGATATTGTGCACGTGCGATCTTCAGTCACCACAGGACTCCCGTTGATGAGGCAGTCACTCGGGGCAAAATGGGTGTCATTGATGCAATTAATGAAGCAGCTGCCCAGGCTGAACTTGCTGGAACTCGAGTTTAGGAGGCTGTAAATTTGTTCGACGATTGCATTATATGTCTGTGAATGTGGTATTGGTTTTAATGTTGCTGTTGGGTTGAAAGTTGAGAGGAATATTTATCTCTAGTGGTGAAGATGAAAATGCTGTGTAAGCTTTAGGGAGATTCTGCTACGGTTTTAATGTCTCTATTGGTGTATGTGAATGTGAAATTGGGTAAGGACCAACTTTGTCATTGCCATATTCAATCGCACGCTGAAAATAAAATAAAAATAGAAATAATGAAAAAAGTAAAATGCAGACATCATCTAGCAAAGTCCTTCTTTGGTTGTCCACGTGTTGTCATTATTCGATGCTAGAGATGTTAAATGGTCATTGGCTCGACGGGTCTGTCTGTATGGCCAAAAAAACATGGTTAGAGTTTTTTACCAGTAACTCATTTAAATTTGAAATTTTTAGGTTCGAACCATTTTCTCTAAAGCCTGCTAGGGCTAGTGTTACGGAACTGAGTTGAGCTGGACCCGGGCGCATTCCCTTATGTGCGTCAAGAGTCAAGAAACCGGGCACTTGTGCACGGTGTCGGATAAGGGAACAAGTACATTGACATGGGAAAGGTTCCGGGCTAGCTTGGCGAGCATGCTAGGTTGCAGGGCCGAGTCAATGTAGACTGAGCATGGGATCAGTCAAGTCTGTGCGGGTTGTGCGGGTTGTGCATGGCCAAGCAAAGTCGCGCGGGCAAAGTAGCAAGGCGGTACGACGCCTTTGCACTACGTTGGGCAGGATTAACTCTAAGCTACGTGGGTTGCCGATGCGGCTTGTTGGGCGTGCGAGTGTTGGCGCGACGCTCAAACTGCTGGCGGGAACGGTTAAGATTTCGGATGCATGCTGGTTGCACGTGGACGCTGTTATTAAGCTCCACGTGGCCTAGGCGGGAAATCTTCAAGTGTGCATGGCAGAAAGGATTAAACGGGTGACGCATGTCCAAGACGGTTATATTGGACACGTGGTGCGCTTGTTTGATGGTCTGCGTATTGGGACCGTTATGAGAACGATTATGCTGAGTGGGCTAAGGGATGGGCAGTTTTGAAACTGCCTGACGGTTACCTGTCCTAGCGGTTGGGATGTCAACCGCAACTTGCCTGCGGGCCTATATAAAGGCCTTGAGATGCACAATCGCGGGTACGAGCGATACCGCGAGTTTGTGTGAATGCCTTGGCGAATTTTCCAGCAATAATGAAATTGTTGGTTGGGCGTGGAGCCCTAAACATTATTGCCTTGTTTATTTGCTTGATGCGATCTGTGTGCGTTGCTTGCTGGTGTATTGCTTAAAACACTATTGCGATTTTGTATTATCAAGTTGTGCGTTTAGTGTGAAGGTGAAAGACTGACTGGTTAGGGGAAAAAACAGGCCGCATATGGTGCTAAGGGTGCGAAAATTTTAGCCTCTTTTTAGACCCTGTGACAGCTAGTCTGTTTAACTAGGGTTGAGTGGTTTAAATGTTTAGAGCAGGAGAAATACGCCTCGAGATTTCTTTTATATTACAATTTTGTTATTCTACTTCACAAGTAAGTATGAGCTCTACATGGGTTATATGAAAGATAATTATTAACAACTTTATTTTTCTACTTCACACCAAAATGTAAAGGCCAATCAAAACGGCTAGTAGGAAACACATGAGATAAAGACCTAATACATAAAATATAATGATAAAATATAAATTCAACAGTATTATACAATATTGAAAAATTTCCGAAGTGTACAAAATAAGTAGTAAAATAGGAATTATAAGTGATAGTTGGAACAATTTTTTTTTCTTTAAAAAAAATATGTTATTTAAGAGTTTGTCATGTCTGTTCGTATATGAAGTATAGTTGTATATATAGAGCAGTAAATACTAAATAGCGAAAAAAATCGTTAACTCGTTGTTGTTATTTATTATTATTATTATTATTATTATTATTATTATTATTATTATTATTATTATTATTATTATTATTATTATTATTATTATCTCAAGCCATGCTAGAGTCAGGGTTAAATCTATTTATTAGTAACCCATTTAAATTCAGACATTTAAGCCCGAACTGTTTAGTTCGAAGCTCGCTACGACTAGCCCAAAATCGCTAAGGGTGGACAATTTAACACTTCTTTTCGGTGTCCTTTTGTTGTTTCTAATTCCAAATTGACTTCAATTTAGTGTCAGATACATTTTTTTTTTTTTTTTTTTACAAAAAGTGTCATATCTATACTTATATAATAAGGTATCTTATTTACTAAATTTAGTAGGTTGAAAAATCAATGTAATTAATGCATTGCTATTTGTATCTAATTATTTAATTATTTTACTTATTTGTCTTATCCTATAAAATCAGTTTAAGAAAAAATTCTAATAACATCCGATAAGTAAAAAAAAATACATAAAATCTTTACTAAAATAAAAAAGGTTTTATTTATTTGTCTTATTCCATATTAACATCGATTTTATCAAAACAAATTCCATAAAATCGGTGAAGTCAAAATTTGTACGTAAAGTCTATCTATACTAAAAAAAAGGCAGATTCAAAATTCCTTATCTAATTCCTTCTTATTATCTAATTGTATGAAAATCTGTTCTGATTTTGTTCAAACCGATTTCTGTATATTCAGATTCAGATTTTCTAATAATAATATTAACATGAATATATATCTATTCTACCCATTGTAAATTACAAAAATATCGAGTCATAATCTTCACACTGTTAAACTCCTGCGAACAAAAAATATCCTCAATCAGTCTTTTATTCAAAACAATGAATCAAGGATTTGGGTTAATCAAACAAGTCAATATGTCTAATAGACATATGCTCAAAGTTCGAATTGTGAGAATATTTTTTCAAAATTAATGCAACACATACAAACCATATACCGAGTTGGTTCTGCATGATAAAACTGTAAGCCAAATTATTTGAATTTTTCTTTTAATTTCAAAATTTGAAACGTATATTTTAATTTTTTTTCGTGTATGTATTTAGATATTTTTTTACACGTTTAGTGAAATATATTTTCAATTTTTTTAATTATATTTTCAGATTTGCAATTTGACTTATTTATTCTACATATCGTGTATGTATTTAGATATTTACATTATTTATATTTATTTTCGTGTTTGTAAAACTTTTATTGAATATTGCATCTTATAGTATAATAATCCTCAAATAAATATATCCCGTGCCTCGCACAGGTCACGTACTATATATAATATCCCCTACATTTTTTTATATTCATTTATATAATTATAAGGCTGGATAAATGTTATTAAAATTGTGCACTCCTACGTTCGCACGGGCTCTGTACTAGTAAGTGATACTCTGACGAGGCACTTTGCTTGTAGAACAAAAAACTTTAACAAAACAAACTAAATATAGAAAAGGAAAACCCAGTGGCACTTTGCTTGTAGAACAAAATCCCCCATTAATACTCTTTTCTGCAAATCCCCACCAAAACAACATTACAAAATTATACAAAGAAGGCTGGAAAATCTTGAGATCTTGAGTGCCCATATAAACCACACTCTCACTTGCAAGACCAACTAACATTCCTCTTTGGATCGGCTCTTACTTTCTCTCAATTTTTTTTTTTTTTTTTTTGGATAATTTGAGCTTCAGATTGACTCAGGCAACCCAATTTACCCCTTCGATTTTACTGCATTCGTTTGCAGGGCTGATTTGAAATGGGCAAAAGGGTACCTGGTTTGATTGCTCTTTTTGATGTTGATGGTACGCTTACAGCTCCTAGAAAGGTGTGATCTTTTTTCCAAACAATGTAAAGTATAGTTGCTTTGCTTTTGCATTAGTATGCAATTTTTCGGGATGTATCGGGATTGCTATGTTCAAAGGTACAGATTTTGGTTTAGTTGATTTGGGGAAATTTGGAAATCCTGTTCTTGGTTGAATTAGGTTTATTGTCTTAGTTTAGGTTGTCTATTGTTTGATTTGAGTTGATATGCCGATTATCGAGTGTGCGCACTAATATCTCGTTAACGGATATTTATTGGGGCGCTGCAAGTAATGTATTTGAATAGCAATAGTTTTACATGTGATCGAGACGAAATACCGTGTTATTGTTACCCATATGTACTTCAAATGGTGAATGTTTGAGTTTGTAGTTCTGAAATTTTACACTCTCAGCTGTGTGATGATTATTCGATGAAAGTGTTTCGTGGGCATTGAAGATATGCATCTTAGAACATGGTCTTGTGGTTGGCTTGATCGATACATACTCGTTCCTTTTAACATCTTAGGCGCGAGTGCACAAGTTCACATATGCACATACGTATGCACTTTGGTGGGTTAATGAATGTTTTTCTAACCTGATTGTTTCAGGTGGCAACTCCTAGGATGTTACAGTTCATGCAAGAACTTAAGAAGGTATTATTTTCGAACATTGTTTCATGTCACGGGCAATCTCATTTGTGAGAGGGTTAACTTTCAAGCTCTCTTCCTTGAAAAACTCATGGAAAATTAAACAATAATAATAAAGGGCACTACCCGTTTAAAGATTAAATGTTGTATTTTTACAAATTTACCAGGTTGTTACTGTTGGTGTGGTTGGAGGTTCTGATCTCGTTAAGATATCGGAGCAGCTTGGGAACACAGGTCAACCTCCAATTTGACCCTTATTCTAAATGTATTGTACTCATTTTATTAAAATTATTTTTTCATTTACCAATGTGCTTGGCTTGCTAAAGATACTCTTTGTTATTGTGCCTACACAGTTATAAACGACTATGATTATGTGTTTGCCGAGAACGGTCTCGTGGCTTACAAGGATGGAAATTTAATTGGAAAACAGGTAGCCCCTTACTTGGGACATGTTATAAAATTTAAAGAATAATCGTAGTTGGAATTTTTTATTTTATTTTATTTTTTCTCATGTTAGTTTTTCATTCTTGACACTTTGATATATATCTGCACGCAGAGCTTGAAGTCATTTCTTGGGGATGACAAGCTCAAGGTTAGAACAAGCTGAATTATTCAAGAAACTTAGTTATTGTTGCCGATAAAAAATGTTATACATACTTCATGGATCATGAATTTAGAGAAAATAAGGTTATGTTGTTCGGTAAAAAAGAAAAAAGAAAAAAAGATTTCTACAAGTGATATTGCAGAACTTTTTCTTTTATTGTTTGATTTTGCACATAGGCTGGTTTGGTGGATGATGACAACCAACAATGTCGATATTAGACATTACTATATGACTTTTTTTTTTAATGCATTACATAGCAATCTTAATATTAAGATTTGTGGCCAGGATCAAGTTGAATATACTGTGAATAATGATGCAGGAGTTCATCAACTTCACTCTACATTACATTGCTGACCTGGATATTCCTATTAAAAGGTAGGAAAAACCTCAAGTTCATATAGCTCATGATCATTTTTTATGGCCTTTTTCGGATCAACTTTTATTATTACTGTATTATTTCAGGGGAACGTTTATTGAATTTCGAAGTGGGATGCTTAATGTATCACCAATTGGAAGAAACTGCAGTCAGGAAGAACGAGACGAGTTTGAAAAGTATGATAAGGTATAAATTTTACGTGGAAATAAATATAGGAGAAGATGTCATAGTTTGATTTTAAATTTGAATTGTTTATGCTCGTTCGCTCAACTATCGTTATACAACTTTTTCTTTTAAATATCATTAGGTAAACAACATTCGCCTCAAAATGGTGTCTGTACTCCGTGAGAAGTTTGCACATTTTAACCTAACATTCTCTATTGGTGGACAAATCAGCTTTGATGTAAGCAATTTTTTTTACATTCGCTATTTTTTCCAGTTATTATGAAAAATATATATCTGACCAAAACGATTGGGAGCAGGTTTTTCCTCAAGGCTGGGACAAAACATATTGCTTGCAGTACTTAAATGACTTTCATGAAATTCACTTCTTTGGAGACAAGACGTATAAGGTGTGTTGAGCAAGGATATTTTCACTGCTTATTTAATATCAATTTGTTATTCTTCTTCCTTTGCATTTTTTATTCGGACCATGCTTCACACAACTAATGCTTTCTTTGCCTTTCACTTTTTCATCACATAAATAGGGAGGAAATGACTTTGAAATCTATGAATCAGAGAGAACCAAAGGCCACACAGGTCAGCTTATCTTTCCCCTTTTCTTAATAATCGTCATTTTTACTAAATGGACAGCAGTAAATCCGCATCAAACGGCTCTAATAATGTATTTCTGTTCTTTTAAAAGCCATCTCTGTAATTGAAATAATTTCACAGTTCAAATAAACCGATATATGTTTGTGAAAAAGTGAAAGCGATTGCTTGCAACCAAATGGTTATTATACATGTTATTGATGTGAACTTACTATCTGCTACATGCTATCGTTATTATATCTTCAATGATGTAATCTTATTATCTGCCACTTGAAATCAGTTATTAGCCCCGAGGACACACTAAACCAGTGTACGACTCTCTTCCTGAACTAACAAGATGAACGTCTCTCGTTTTTCCTCCGGTGGTTCGGATCGTGCCTTTTGTGAATCTATAGACATTAGGAATACTTCATAATGTGGTGAATACTTCATAACATGTTGTATTTTGGTATTTCTGCTAGTTTTGTAAATTATACACCAGCTGCATTTATACATTAATAAAAAAAATATTTCTAAAATTTACCATACACTTTTATACGTTTGTACAGTATTTGATTATCATTTAATCATTTGTATTTTAATAAAACGTTTGCATATCTTAAGAACAATGTACAAATAGTTTTGAATAAATATTAGAATTAGTAAATTACACAAACTTCTTGAACACTAACAACAAAGGACATGCATTATTATAAATGTATCAAAGCACTAAAAGGGGAACCCAAAAAAAAAAAAATAAGCAAAAGATAGAAGGAATTTATAAGAATCTCTTAATCTTGTATAGAGCAGCAAAAATTAAAGAAAATAAAAAAACCGAAATTATACGCTTTCGTCGGAAATATTTTTCTTCGGGGATTGTTCTTGTGCCTTGTCGGACTCATCCTCCGAATCCTTTTTCTCCTCCTTCTCCTCTGCATCCGACTCCTCTTTTGGCTTCTCGGCCTCATTGGATTCGGCCTCGACAAGCTCGACTGTCCCCTTCTTGTGATGGGCGGAGTTGAGGACGTGTTGGTAATTTCCTTTCTCCATGAAAAGCTGCTGAAAATGGACCTTGCAGTAGAGGACACCATCAAGAGCAGCATAGGATGAGTGTGTGAGATGGCAGCCTCCATGGGCACACTTGAAGCATGACTTGTGAAATGATTCTCCCTCCATAATCACCTAATATTTTCAAGGGCAAAACAAAATGAACTTTGAGAAATATTTTATTAAATAATGTATAATATTTTAAGCAAAGATTCATTATATTTTATGTATATATGTGGTAAAAAAAAAATGATAGTTATTTAAAAGCAAGCAAAATTTCAAAGATGGGAAAAAAAAAAATATATTATATAAAAAAAAGTACCTTCTCTAGGGGATACACAGTTTTGTTGCAAGCAGGGCATTTGTCTAGAGTACCAGAGAACAATGCTGAGAGCTTGCTAGGTGCCCTTGTCTGCATAATTACCCCAAAAAATATATATATATATATATATAAATAAATAAAAATTAAAAACCAACAACAAATTACAATATTTTTAGCAATAAATTCCACAAAATTACATTGTTTATAAGGGTGATTAGGCCAAAAAAAAAAAAA